TATAAGGATATTCATCCATTAGGAACACCCTAACTACCAACCTAAAACCCACTTGGACTTAGTTGGAACATCCTGGTAACACCGAAGCCACAACTTACACACTAGCAACCATTAAGAACATTTGAGTAACACCTTAACTACCACTCTAAAACCCACTTCCATCTATTCAGAACATCCTAGCAACACTAAAGGAACCACTTACTAGCAACCCCCCAGAACTCAATAGCAACAGTTCAGAACATCCTAGCAAGCCACCACATGCTAACCATTAAGGATAGCATATCAACAGCATATAATAATAAAAATAATAGTGTCTACTACAATGTGGCAGTGAGTTTTGCATAGTCGAGCAACCTTTTCTTTCAGATATCTTGTTTGTTTTCAATTGGCACGATGGGACCATGCTCAATGTTTTCCATTTAAGGTTAGAATAAACAGAACTAGGACGTCACAGTGGCGCAGTGGATAGCACAATTGCCTCAAAGCAAGATGGTTGCTGGTTCGAGCCTAGGCTGGGTCAATTGGCATTTCGTGTGGAGTTTGCATGTTCTCCTCTGGGTGCTCTGGTTTCCCCCACAGTCCAAAGACATGCACTGTAAGTGAATAGAAAAGGCTAAATTGGCCATAGTGTTTGTCTGTGAATGCAAAGTGTGGCGACCCCTGATTAATTAATGGACTAAGCTGAAAAGAAAATGAATAAATAAATTAATGAAACAGAACTCTATTTGTTAATGCATCAATTCACTCATACATTTGAAGTAAAACTTTTGTTTGACATCATACTTTACTGACAAAATGTCAAAGCTGCTGTTGTCATTTAACAATAGACTGGTTTCACTCTGATGTACATCACAATAAGAAAAAAAGGAACTGTTGGTCCTTCAGTTTTGTAAAAGCTTTTACAAAAGAAAGAAACCTGACTCCTTGCGACCAAATATGGTCATTGGTAATGCAGTTACTTTAAATATCATGGAAAAACTTTGACACAGGAGATAAATGAATAATGTAAGCTGACTTGAAGTTATATATAATATGTTGCAAGTAGGCCAGCCACTCGTGTAAACAGAACTTCTGTTTGCCTAGCGAGAATAAACAAAATTCACTTGTAAGACACTGATTGAATCCAGCCTCATTCATGCTTTCTGGAGCCTGAAAGTGCTACAGACAATACAAACTCGACTTTTGATTGTCAAACAACAAAACTGTAGAACGAAAACTCGCCAGTGAAAGCTGAACAGAATTGCAAAAATAAAGGGATTATTAAACAGGATTCGTGAACACTCCTTCAATCTGCTGATGATCAGTCAAACAAATAATCCCAACCCAAACTCTCACCATTGGTTGAGCTAATGCGTGTGCTTGGGATGTACAAACAATTGAATTCCTAGAACAGTGGCATAGCTCACTGTTTAACTGCTCATTTCTGAATATTCTAACTAGCTAATCACAACTGTTTACTGAATGGTGACACATATTGTATATCAATTTAACCATGTTGGATAGAACAATATGTTAGTGGTATAGTGATAAATTATGCTAATTAAATTTGAGATCAAATTAATTTTAGGTTTTTGTAAATAATGAGCAAAGCAAGGACTGCCTCCCTATGAATTACATTATTTTGTGTTATTAGGTAACACAACTTTACATAACCAAAATATTATTTTGAGGTAGTACAGCATTAAACGCACATGCACATTCTTTACTAAAATTAAATATTTAAGGTAAATCGTAATAAAGGTACGAGAGCTGTAACTGGAGCTGAACCTGAAGGGTCCAAATCAGTACTTCAAAAGCACATTTAGTACATACCCAGCAGGCACACAATGTTGTAGGACGTTAATATTAGGTTAGATTTAGGTTGTGACGTCAGATGACCAAAATTCAATGTCTAGCTAATGTCTAAAGACAGCGTTATTTTGATGTCTGTTAATGACGTTAGATAACGCTGATATTTGGTTGATTTTAGGTTGTGTTGAAAAGTGACAAAAATCCAACGTCGAGCCAACATCATAAACATCAATACGTCTTATTGACATCAAATACTGACATTTATTCGTCAGGTATGGCAACCAAAATCCAACGCCTAATAAGACGTCATGATGTTAACATCCACAAAACGTCCAGCTGTAACATCAGACGTTAATATTTGGTTGATTTTAGGTTGGATGTTGAACACTGACATTGGCCTGACATTGAGTTCTGACGTTAACCTGATTTTTATTTCCAAATAAAATGCGACGTTCCCACGATGTTGGGGTACAATGTCAGTCTAATGTGATGTTGAAATCCTGTGCCTGCCGGGTAAGAATATTAAAAAAAGTGTACTTTTGCATGTTTTAGGTTAATTTTTACTTGTAAGGTACTGAAATTGACGGAAATCATCACAAATGTGTACCTTTAATAAAGTACTGCCCCAGTGACAGCTGTCGTATCTTTTCTGAGAGTGTAAAAACTAAAAGAAATAGAATGACATTTATTAATTCAATAGCAGACTTAGTCAGTCTTACATGTTAGCTTGCTTATTTTTCTCAAGTGCACAATCTTTTTTAAGTCCATGTGTCATGCCAACAAGTTTCTAACCACAAGTCAAGAGCTGTTGTTTCAACCACATGAGTTTGCAATGTTGTTTACAAATGTTCATTAGAATGTATTCAGGAAATGGCAGATCATCAAACTACACACCTGATCGATATGTTTTAACATATTTTAAAACAGATCAGTGTTTACACTTTTCAAGGAATCACCCAATTAATGGTTTGTTGTCATTTTGACATAAATAGAAGAGAGAAAATGACACTTTACATATTTAGGGTAATATAATGTAAATAAATACATTAATTTATTCTATAGGACATTAAAAAAACATATATATTCATGTTATAAAAAACAATTATGTGATGAAATTGTCTCACTGCATTTGTGCTCTACATAAGAAAGTTATACAAATTCAAAACAACATGAGGCTGACCGAAAGACTGAAAAAGTTTTCCTTTTGAATGGACCAGATCCTATTAAAAGTGGAAAATAAATTGTAGAGTAAGTGTATTCACATTTATGAAGATTTAAATAAATAGACTAGGCTGATATAACTGGGCTATGTTTAAATCAGTGTTTCAGATGAGTCATTTCCATTTCAATAAGTGTCTGATATGAGAATATACCTATTTACACAGTCTTATTTTCAAACTCTGGGGAACATACTGTACTTTTCCTAGAACCATTTCCCCTAATGATCCCCGGTCCCCACCCTTTAGGAAGGCACCTGACCTCTCCTGTGTTCACTGTGACATTCATTAACTCACAGTTGCAACCTGGCAACCTGTGGGCAATCGCTGTTTAGAAGCCAAATCACACGCCATGACATTCAGGGCTGATCGCCTCACCTGTTAACATGAGGTGCGTTGCCTGACAATGAGAAGGAAACCTCATTTGGTGTCTGTGAAATAACCTTTAAGGGAAAATCTGAGTCAAATTGTTTACATCTGCCAGGTTTCCTCTGGAGGCCACATTTGGGGCTTGATTTAACGAGCACCGAGGGACTGAGGCTGGAAGGCATCAAGAGCGCTCCGGCTCAGGCCTTGACAAGCCCGATAGTCTGTTACAATGGTGAATGAATCGTTTTTGTTCACTTGCATGCACTGACTCATATTTCTGTCTCTTCCTTTAGGTACAAGTGACTGCTTTCCTGTCCTCAAGGATAGCATTAACATTTTCTGATTTTAAATGTGGATTGTGAAGGAGTGTTTGGTAGGAACTATTGTACAAATCACTGAATGTGTGGGCTTTTTGAGACAAAACAAAGCTCAGTGGAGCAATGAATAAGAATGAATGGAAGTATACTTTACAAAATATATAGGCCTACTTGGCAAAAGCAGTGAAACAACTAATATGTCCAACTTTATAGTACTCATAAAACAGTATGCAAGATTTACCTGAGTTAGCCTTATATTTCTAAAGTTTGCTACATATCCCATGAGGCCATGGTAGAAGATTTGTCAATGGCAGTGTGAAGCAAGCTGAATTGACACTGTTGTTAGCATGACATGTAGTATAGACCATTTCAACATTGTCATGTCATAGGCCCATGAACATTTTCTGTTTGTTATCAATCTATTTTATAACTGTAACAGCAGGCAACTTTAACTTAATGTTAAAACAGCTATCGTAACATTATTTATAAATATGTGGCTCTCTTTAGATTCTCGGAAGCTATAGAAATTAAAAATGTAAAACAGGAAATATGTAGGGACCATTGTTTTTGTTTACAACATATAATTAACTGCCACTAACTTACAAACCAATGAAATGTAATTATATGATATCATTTGTGTGGTTGTTCAGTTTTTCAAACAAGTTCACAATAATGTGTCAAAGGTGCAACTGTCTATTAATGATGGAGATATAACAATACAAATGTAAGTATTCTACTGTAGGCTACCTCATAAGTAGGTTGTTGTTGTTTTTTTTTCATTCTAAAGCTTGATAAAATGAATCTCTAGCAATCGTCAACACTATGAATTAATAACTAATTGCTTCATTAAATTATTCATAAACTTTTTAGCACAAAAATAAACTCAACAATCACCACTTTCTTACAGAAGTCACTAAACAAACCAGTGAATCAATATTTTGGCTAAAGTGATTAAAAAGATTCAAATCACTGAAAAAAATCACAATCTATTTTACTAAAACCCACTCTGAGAGACATGTTGTGGTTCGAGCTAAGCCGATGATAACCATTGAGTCCCCCTCCCTCTGTAATCACAGGCTAATTGTCCCAGTAAGATTTGGCAACATGACTTATTATCGTAAATTCGCGCCAGTCGAGTCCAGCCGTTGGTCAGACAGGTCTCGTGCGCATTCCCCCTCCCGCCGGCGCGAAACTGGAGCAGCAGCAGCAGAGTGCCCTCGAGTCATATTCCGTACTACATGTGGTGGCATCGACGTGGCTTTGTGCCACTGCGCCCTGTTTATGCGGAGTTTGAGTTCTCACTTACCGCTGTGGGCGCTAAACCACCGGGGCGCGATGTGCAGGGGCAAAGTGTCTGCCAACGACGCCCGGGATCCCAGGTAAAGCATACCGTCCGTGTGGTGCCCGCCGCCCGTTTCTTGGTATCCATTGCCGTTATGAGCGGGATCCGAGCCAGACCCCCCTCCGGCTCTGTCCGAGTCTGTTCCTCTAGGGGTGTAAAACCCGAAGGGCACCGTGGCGCTGTGGTCTATGCCCATCCCCGCCACGGAGCTCACCGAGCGGCTGCGCAGTCCCATCGTGCCACCTGGCCGGTAGTGCCCGAAGTGGGCCGAGGGTGGCACCGCGCTGTCATCTGTCGAGACACCGGGAAAAGCACCCCGGGGCCGCCCCGCCGTACTCTGCTTGCCCCCCATCCAAAAGTATCCGCTAAAAATGGGTGGGGGTGTCGCGGAAAGGGTGTCACGGATCGCCCTGCGGCGCTTCTCGAGCCTCCTTCAAACAAGCGACCAAAACAAGCGCTAAAATCCGCGGTTGTCAAGTCTGACTAAAACAGCTGTGTCTCGCAGACGCAACAGCCCATTTTCCTGGTCGAATCATGGACCTAAGGTCTCAATAATCACCTTAACTCGCGCGGAAACAAGGAGGTGATAATAAAGCCGAGCAAAAACGCAACACGTTCTCCGCTTACAAGCAACTGACAGGACAGCCTGCCCAAAATCACCACGCGCAACAACACATCCGCAGTACTTTGAATGAGAGAGCTCTCTCTTATTCAACGAGGAATGACTCAAAACACATCAGCCATGATGCCCGGTCCAGTGTTAGGTCCAGGTCCGCTCGTCCTCCGTCCGTCTGCCTGGAGATTCGGGTCAGCGTGTGCCGCTCCCCTGCACGCGCAGATCCGTCCGTGCGCTGCTGTGTTGCTGCTGCTGCTGCTGCTGGAGACAATAGAGGCGGTTACTGCGCATACGCGGATTAACAGTGGCGAGATGTGCTGTAAACGCGAGCGTGGATTTACAATATCTAACCCAAACAATCAATTATTAAGACCTGTCCTTTCTTGTTTCACGCAGACAACGACTCGCCTCCGACAGGCGCTTGGTGATCTGAATACGGTGTTAAAGGAGGACAGAGATGTGACCCAGTAAACGTTGCCATAACGAAGTTAACGCAGAGGCGGCAGACATGATTTAATTTAGGTACTCCTCATGTTTTCATTTGCAGCCATTCAGTCGGAGGCCTGAGAAATGCTCGAGTGGCTATCCAGAGGCAAATGATAGACTTTCATCTCCATAATGGGGCCAAAAATGAGAGTGGAGCCTATTAGGTCAACAAGCCATGAAATCTCAGACATGGACAGAAAACCACAGTTTAGTTTAAATGGCTCAACATAAACATCTCAATGTAATGTTGGAAATAAATAAACCTTATTCGCAGATATAACCAAACATATGGCATTAAAAGAGAAAGAAATAAGTCAAAGGATGGCACAGCATGCAAAAACTGATGTGCATCCTTTTCTGACAGTTTGCAACCCCAGATATAGCCTACAAACAAAAATCTAATTATAAAATAGGCCTGATTATAATAAATAAAATTCACAAATAACCACTAAAACAGCAATATAGCCTTATCTCTGCTCTTGTTCTGCTCATTGCTCACAGTAAATAAATACTTATTAATATATCTGCATTCATAAATGATGTACTCTGGTAAAATAGTTGGGTTAAAAATAACCCAACATATAACCCAACTATAGGTTATTGTAGCACCTTCTCAACTATGGGTTATTTTTTAAATATGTGTATCATATTCTCCAAAAAAAAAAAAAAGGAAAGATGAACATGGGTGGTAGAGAAAGCGTTTTATCCATTTAATATATTGCGTTTGCATCATCAATAATTAGGAGTGCTGGTGAAATGGATATAAAAACACGACACAGAGGTAATTTGATAAAAAAAATTATTGTGTTAGAGCTTAAATAAACCTTTTAATGCAAAAACTACATTACACACACATATTAATATGCTGTTCTTTCTCAGTTAAATCAGTTGACTGTTGAAATTCAAAACTTTAACCCAACTGGTTGAGTTAATAAATAAATAACCAAAAAAAGATTAAAAATAACCCAACAAAGCACCAAATATTTAATCCAACTGGTTGAGTTATTAATAAATAACCCAATAAAGGTTCAAAATAACCCAACAAAGCACCAAATATGTTTAACTCTGGGTTAAATAAATAACTCTACATTTTTAGAGTGCATGGACCACATCCCTAATATGTATTGCATTAAACACACTTAGATAGTTAAAAGCATGATCTTTTAACCGGGTCCATAATACCCACAGACACTAATGTAAATGATTACACTTAGTTCCCCCGAGGCTTTTTAAAGTTATCATAAAATGTATGATTAGAATCCGTCTAGGACATTTAGAAACATTTTAGTCAAAGTAGTCTTAATAGGACTGTTTTCGGAATAGAAATATAATTTATGGACAGGCATGTGTCTTCTGCAGATTTAACTTTTACCATTAGAACTGATATCTTCTGTCTGTGAAATGAGACAGTGTCTGGGTTTGTCTCTTCAAAATGTTATATTTCATATAGTTATGCTGTTACTCTTATTAGAATTTGATATGGCCTGTAGCCTATATAAAAATGAAGCAAGTAACACAAAAGTGTGTGGCAGTTCAGACAGTGATAATTTATTAAATGAGTCCTTTAAAGAATTAAGCGTGTTGTTTACAGTGTTAACAATTTGTTAATTACAGCTTACTAATAAAATGTTGTGTATTATTATTTTAACATGAGATCAGTCCTGTTATAATATCCAGTTCTAAAAGCAGACAGGATAATCACTGCGTTTACAGACGATCTCGTGGGCAAAATTAGGAAATGGCGACATCTAATGGATAAATGAGTAAATACACATGACGGGTTTATTTATATGTATAATTGCATTTTATCTACATATCACGGAGTTAAAAAACATCTATTTAAACTTTACTATTACATTTTAATTATACTTTATATCGTTTTATTTTCTTGTAAAAAGACAGATCAATTAAAGCGACTTTAACAAGTGTTGTTAATAAATAAATTATTTAAATATTATAAATAAACACAAAGTACTTTCTTTTGTCTTTAAAATGACATAGTCATTTATCTTTAGCTTGTTTTTAAAGTAAAATTGTGCTTCATGTCAATGAGTATTTGAGAGGTTTTGCATCTTCATCGCTCTGCTATCGACTGATCGCACCTGTTCGATGTTCCCTGTGCTCGATGCTCCATTAGTTTCCGCTTGAAGTTGCGCGCCAAAGCTGCTCTGACTGTGTTGTTGTTTTGACAAGTTTGACTGTATTTCCACCGTTGGTTTGCGTTTGTTTGATTAACTGTCGCTTGCTTGCAACGTAAATGGACGCTCAATCCTACATGCCCGTTCCTCCGGGTGTCGGAATGGAGGAGAATTTCTTTTCTCTGGATGATATTTTACTTTCCCACGAGCGACTGCCATGTAGGACGGAGAGCGCCTTCCCGAGACTCGGGTTTCTAGAGAAATCCAGCGACTCCCGAGACATACCTGAGGTAACGTTATACTAATGCATTTACATCACTGATGCTAGTTTTAAACGGTTATAAAGTACTTTATTTTAATTATGACGAGCACTCTATGTACTAAAGTTGTATTAAAACTGTCTTGAACTAAAACTGCTGGGCCTATTTGTTTTTGTTGAGCTTGTCCTATATCTTCATGCATAAAAACATTTTTAAAGCTTTTATGATTCAATAAAATGTTTATTTCTGTTATACGTAGGTTTGCAATCAATGTTAATACAGTTCCTATAGTGTAAAATTAAATACAAGCTATGTAATTAGCCTTCCCTGCTGAAAAACAAAACAAAACAAAAAACAGCTTGATCAGCCAAACCAGGCTGAGAACCAAGCCAAAACCAACTATGTCCAGCTTAAAGCAGGCTGGTCATTTTCCAGCCTGACCAGCTTAGACCAGGCTGGAAACTTGCCATGGAAGGGCCAAACCCCCTCTAAAACTAGCCAACCAGCTTAGGCTGGTTTAAGCTGTGTTTTTTTCAGATAGAGGTAAAGTTGGTTTTATATTCGCACATTCGTTCATTTACAAATTTCTATATTGTTTACCATGTTATTTTGAACATTCAATTGGAATTAGCATGCAACTGGCTTGAAAACAACATTAACACTGTTTATTTGACTGTGAGCAATGTTGTACTTTGATAGTCATTGGCTGCTAAACTAATATGATTTCGCAATTTAGAATTTGAAAATAATACTTGTATGAAATTATATTATTAAGGAGAAAGTCAGAATGTCAAATATAACTCCAACTTAACCTCTGTTTCTTTTCAACAGGGTTAAAAAATGTCTGTCGTCAAGTTTTTTCTTAATTTCAATGAGGGAAAAACTGAGCTGGTCTGGTTTGGGGATCCTGCCCCTCTGGCATTATTAGGTTTTGGTGAGCTATCAACTTATCAAAAACCTGTTGATAGAAACCTAATGTTAGGGTTTCAGTTGGATAGTGATCTGACATTTAACAGACAAGTAAATTCATTTATGACTTGTGGCAAAAGTGAAGTAATTTCTCTGTTTTAATGACCTTGAAAAGGGGATTCATGCTTTTATTTTGGAAAGACTTGACTATTGCAACTTTTTGTATGTAATGATTAGTCAAAATGCCCTGAATAGATTGCAATTAATACAAAATGCGGCTGCAAGACTTGTGACAGGGACTCAGAAGCATGAGAACTTATACCCAGTTCTTTTCTCTGGGCTGGCTGCCTGTTAGGTCACAGATTGATTTTAACTGATTAATTTTTGTTTTTAAATCCTTAAATGATCTGCCACCACCTTACTTATTAGATCTCCTACATGATTAAAATCCTGGTAGGTCACTAAGGTCTTTTGATCAGTTTATTCTTTTGGTACCAAGGTCCTGGTGTAAGCGAAGTGGGGTTTGGGCTTTTGCTGTTATCGCCCCAAAACTCTGAAATAAGCTTCCCCACCCACATTCGATGCACTCCAACTTTATCTGTTTTTAAAAAGATTCTGAAACTGCATTTCTGTTCTTTAGATTTTGAGCCTTTTTAACGTTGAGGGGTTTGCCTTATGTTTTAATTGTTTGTGATGTAGGACTTATTTTTATTAGTACTGATTGTGTTCAGAACTTTGGGCAACATTGTGTTGTAGAAAAGTGTGCTATATAAATAAACAAACTAAACTTAATAGTGTTAATCAGAATAATATCATGAGTTATTTTTAATAATGCCATTTCCACCTAAAGACATTATTAAAATGACACATTTGACATGTGGAAATGTTGCTGTAGAACAGTTCTAATCTGACATTAAAACATGTCAAATCATAGGCTTATGTTTAGAAAAGGCTTAAGTTTTATATGATGTTTGTTGGACTAAATTAATCTGTACATGAACGCTTTTTGGAGTTTTGCATGTTGGTTTACTTGACTACAGCATTAAAATAAACTATGACAATGTAGTGCACATAAACAAAACCAACAAAATACAGTACCATCATTTTATACATGTAAATGATAAAAATTAATTTGTGAAATCAGTGATGTCATATGTTTTCAATACTTGTTCATATTATAGGCACGTGCAACTATTTTACAACACAAACACCATATTTTGCCACTTGCATAGTAGTGTGATAATTTAATGCTAACATTGCAATTCATTTTTTAGGGCTCAAAAATGGAGATGCCACTTTGGCTGGCCAAGGGTCTGTATGAAAGGAAGAGACGAGTGCTGTCTGTGGAGTTGCCAAAGGTGTATCGTGAAGGCTGGAGAACAGTGTTTGGGGCTGATCCCACTGTTGTAGACTTGTACAAAATGGGGCCTTATTACTATGGTTTAGGTTCCCAGATGCTGCATTTTGAAAGTCCAGAAAATCCAGAGATCGCTAATACCATCCTCCAGGTGAGCCTTGAGTAGTCGTATATAACTATATAATATATGGCGATGAGTTCTGTTTAATCTTATCTTGTTAGTACTGGGTAGTTACAACAAAGCATGAGGGTTAGCGTGTGCCTCTTCACATTTTGAAATTGTTGCTTTTAGTCTGAAGAAGATAATTAAAGGGTACAAGTGATAGACACATTTGCAATAATTATTTATACATTTATTTAGTGATGATAAATATTACAGAAGTGCAATCCAACTAATGTTCTATCTTGGTTTGTCATCCCTCCATGAATGAAGCCTGCTTTGGCCAAAATAGCTAAAAATCTTTGTTTTTCTATTCTATTTTTCAACCAGTAGAGGGAGCAATACATTTAACATATTACAAGTGCTGACCAGTTGCTGGGCAGACTGGTATGTTATGTTGAGTTGAAAGTAGTGTTTAATTAATCAATGCAATTAAAGCACCATGTTCCTTTACTTTAGATGAAGTGAAAGGTCAGTTTTATGCTTTAAACATCTGCTACGTAAACAAACTAGTGACTGATAAATCATGTCGTCTTTATTATTTTAAACCTATTGTTTTTGCATCTTTTAGAAATTGTCGAATAATTGTTTACCGCTCTAATATTATATGTACACTCTCCCTGTCTTTCTTATCAGACCTTCATTGGTCGTTTCCGTCGGACTATGGATTCATCCCAGAATGCTTACAACGAGGACACATCAGCGCTGGTGGAGCGTTTGGATTACTTGGAAAGGAGCTTGTTTAAGGCAGGACAGAGTGGACTGAACAATTTCCAACTGTGGGAAAAAGGTCGGTCCTCCCACCTCACTGCCTCTAGTCTAGTTATCAACTACAGAAAGAGGAAAATGACAGACCTACAGGCCTAAAAAACCAAATGATTGCCAAGACGGACTAAGAAGAGTTTCTTATGAGTGCGTGAGAAAGTGGCCAGTGTGGAGGACTGTGTTATGAGAAAGTTGTGTTAAACCCTCTGATCTTTTACTGTATTATTTGTAAACAATGTTAGTTTCAAATTTGGCCAATAAATTATTTTGATATCAGTACTTGTTTTGACACTTTTTAAAATTATTAACTGCAAATTCATCAGAAATATGCTGTTTAGAAGGCAGTTACCAATTCTTGCATTATTTCAAGAATTGCTAGTTGCCTTTTATTTGATGATGTGCAAACTCAAACCTCCAAGTCTTGAAGAAGAAAACAGAAACCTGCCTAAGCTATTCTCTCTATATTTATTAGAGATTTTGCTTTAACAAGTTTCTGTTTTTTTCTTTAAGGCTTGGAGGTTCGAGTTTGCACATCATGAAATGTCAATAACTAAAATATTGTAATCAATATTTATGTTGTGTAGACTGGAACATAAAAAAGACTAATGCATTTATGCTGTCATTTAAAGGATGCAGGTTCTGATAATCCATGAGCTCTTATATTTAGAATATTGGAGGTGACATTTGCATGCGTCACCAGGTTGTTCATTTGTATGTGTGTGCGCGAGAGCTTTATTTGCGTCAGGCAGCACGACAAATCAAATCATTGGATGTCTCCACATCTCTCTAGACCTATTTCTCCGCTCTCACCTCTAAAAACAAACACAGTGTTAACCTGTCCTTCAGATCTTGCTTCTATTTGAATCTGAAGATAGTTTTCTGTGGTATCTGGCTTCCGATGCCTTAGTCCTCTTCATTTTAATGAGTGTGTTTATGAATACAGAGTCCCAGCTGCTTGTTCATGTGTAAAATGTGGGTCAGCTGATGAGGACGACCTCATCCGTGATTTCGGAATGGAAGTTATTGATATATCCCTCTGGGATGGTCATAGCGACCTTGTTATCTCTGTGCAGCCTCAGCTGAGTAGGTTTGGGTAGGGCAGGAGAATTTATTGACTTTCAAAGGGCTAAACTAAATAAAAGTCACTTATAGCCCGGCTGTTCGCTTGAAGTTTCATCTTTTGGTGACTTGATCACAGTATAAACAGGGCCAGCAATTTATGAAATAACATTACATACTCTCATATAAGTAATAACGTGTTACCAAAAAGATAGCAAGTGCAATTAGTAACTTTTTTTGTGTGTGTGAAACGTGGCTCAGTGACAATAGCTGAGGGCTATAGTGACAGCAAAATTGATGATTCAATTCCACAAGGAGTAATTCCTGCACTGTCACTGTTCTTCCCTTGAAGGCACATTGATATCAAAATTGCACTAGACTTAACACTCTTATAAATGATTTTATCTTAGTGACCATTTTTAACTGATATTGTTGTAAACTTTGTCTTTAAAAAGGAGCCCATAATGCTTTCAATAGCATTTTATGTGAAGTCAAAAGTCAGCGCTGCAAATTCACATAACCACAAACACAACCCTTTTTTTTTTTGCTCATTCAAAGTTACATAGTTCCTTTTAAATGCCTTTATTTAACTTAAAGAATTTAGCTTTTGAACCCCCCCCCCCCCAAAGTGATTTATGTATCATTGTAGACAGTGGTGTAAAGTAACAAATTATGGACACTCAAACTACTGTAATTGATTATTTTTTCTCAGGAATTGTAGTTTACCAAGTAATTTTAAAAATGTGCATTTCTACTTTCTCTTGAGTACATTTTTAGTGCTGTATCGTTATTTTTACTCCACTACTTTCCGTTAACCCGCAGTCACCACTTCATTTTTTCTTGTCTATGGGCATTAGAAAACATCCAACCTAAAATCAACCAAATATCAACATCTAATGATGTTACAGCTTGAGGTTTAGTGGACCTTACCACTATGACGTCTATCAGATGTTGGATTTTGGTTGCCATACCTGAAGAATAAATGTCAATATTTGACTTCAATATGATGTTGGTTTAAAATGTTGGCTCGATTTTGGGGACATTCTAACAAAACTTATCATTAAATATCAACATCCATTCACGTTGTTTTTGGACATCAAAATAACATTGTCCTTAGACTTTGGCTAGACATCATGACCTAAATCTAATCTAAAATTAATGTCTTATGATGTTGTGTGCCTGCTGAGCTATAACTAAATGCTCTACAGAATGTTATGTTTACACACATCCACAAATTAGATGTAAATGCATCAGCTTTTTACAACGTAATACTCACTACTCGCAACTCTTGAATACTTTTAAAAGGTCTACTTTTACTCATACTTTGAGTACAGATATTTTACTCTACTTGCACTACATTTTTAGGCAAGTAATTGTACTTTTACTTAAGTATGATTTTTTTCAGTACACTTTCCACCACTGATTGTAGATCTTTGAGGGTTTTAAAAACCCTAGGTTAGTCTTCCATGGCATCCTGGTGAATGGTGTCAAGTATTTCACTGTGACCCATGCTGGGTTTTCTCGAACACTGCCATGTCTTGTTGCACAGCGAATGACTCTTGACCTGGATTTACAGTGTGGTTTTTCTAGTGAGAGAGAGTGTTGTGCTGTTCTGCTTGAGAGTTATGAACATGGACCTGACCCAACTACTGCTGCATGAACCTTTTTTTTGTAAAGAATTGATGGCTAACGTGTCTAAAGCACAAGTGCAACTTTTTTTTAGTTTTCTACTTTTACTTTACATGCACGCAGAATGTATCTTCATTGTAGAAATGGATGTTCTCGACTAGACTGTTGTGCTAGCTAGAACATTTTATTTTTCCTTTAGATTGTGTTTCATTTGAATTACAAACAAAAATATCCTGATTTGCACCCCAAACTTAAAACACAAAAACCTCTCACTGAAAGATCTAAAGCACACGCACACTAAAAAAAAACATCCACAATCCCTCCCTCTCTCGATAGAACTCTAATTCGTTGCAGAATTATTCATGTTTTTAACTGTATGAGAACGCTGCAAAAAAGCGAGATCCCATCTGTCTTCTCACTGTGTTGCATCTCTTTTAACTGAGTTGGAGGAAAAAGTATCCACCAGTGTTCCCATGTCAGTCTTTGAGCCTCTTTTGGCTTCTTTCCTTAGTGGTTCCAGTGAGCCGATTTTCAGACCTTCTTGTTTGAAAAGAACAGACATGTCTCGGAGGCACAAGAGGCAAAAAGAGTGAGAGATGGAGAGAGAAACAGAGGTGTCAGGATTAGCCGTATCTAAGCTAACGCCCCCGCACTGCTCTTCAGATGTAGCTAATCTCTCCCCGACTGGGTTTGCGTTCTCTCTGAAACACTGACTCAAATAAGCCTGCGCACTAAAGCAGGTGGGAGGTTGAGAACGCTATTTTATCCCACCCTTTTAATTTTTTTGATGTTGGAATTGGTAGACTTGTGAAATACGGAGGAAAGTCTCTATTTTTCGCCATTATGCATTTAGGTTTAATAAATATGAAAATTACTTTGTTTTCCTATGATTAAACCTTTTAAACTCTACTGATGATATTTACAATGAAGCAAAAATTCAGCTCTCCCACAGATCATCATCCGTTTATTTAGAGGCCAACATGAGTGAGTTGTTTACTTTGACCAAAGAATTTTTCATGTTAATTTCTTTTTACTTGTATTATCATTTGTTTTTAACATAATTTTTTGACCAGGCACTGCCTTTCTTTTCTTTTCCGACAAAACATTTCTTGCAGGAATTGTTCAACTGGATATTAAGGTTTTGAAAAAAAATGTTTCCATTCTGTGCGGCTTGCAGTGATTCCATAGCCTATTTACATATGGTCACTTCATGCATTTTCTGATCAGATAATTATTTAATTGTGAAAAGAACAGCCTCTAAAACAGATTCTAGATTTAGATTTAGATTTGATCACTGAATCTACTGCTTCAGGAGGTGCTCTAGGACACATTCCAGATAAAACTGGATAGGTCTAGGTTTTTAAAACAACATATTAAAATTTTATTTCTCATTCATTAACTTTCTTTTTGGCTTAGTCCCTTTATTATTTTGGGGTCACCACAATGGAATGAACTGCCTGCTTATCCAACATGTTTCACGCAGTGGATGCCTTTCCAGCTGCATCTCATCGCTGGTAAACGGCCATACACTCTCATTCACACAAATACACTATGAACAATTTAGCTTACCCAATTCACCTATAGCACTATATCTTTGGACTTCCGGAGGAAACCAGGGCACCCAGAGAAAACCCACACGAACATGGAGAGAACATGCAAACTCCACAAAGAAATACCAACTGGACCTGGCCGAGGCTCAAACCAGCGACCTTCTTGCTGTGAGGCAGCAGCGCTACCCACTGCACCACCACGCCACCCAAATTTTATTCCTCCTAAAATGTATATAATTAAACTTGTGAGAGTGTGATATGCACCAGTGCAACACTCAAAGCATAATGGATGGATGAAAGTACATACCATTTATGTTTGTTTAGATTATTTATTTATAAAAAATTTCATTTTATTTTTGACCACACTGTAAAACCCAAAAAGTTAATGTAACTCAAACCATTTGAGGAAACTGATTGCAACAAACCAAAAACTAATCCTAATGAGTAATGTGAACTTGAACCATTTGAGTAAATGAAGCAAGTTCATCAGAGTAAAACCCAATAAATGAGAACTCAAGCCAACTGAGTACTGTAAAACCTAACAAGTTAAGGCAACTCAAACCGTTTGTAGGAACCGATTGCTACAAACCATTTGAGTTAAAAAAAAAAAAACTAATCTATATGGGTACTGTGAACTCCATTTAAGTTAAAGTAATGAGGTATTTAACTTGTTACCATCAACACTCTCAAAACTCTTTTCAAATGAGTAGAATTAACTTTAATTTTGAGTTAACTACACTCATTTCATTCGATAAAGTTGACTGTTGGGTTTTACAGTGCAGTCATTATTTATTAAATTATAAACTTGTTAAAATTGGTGTTAAATTAATATAAAGTTTACATTAATACAAAAGAAAAACATCATGTATCTGTAGCCTATTTGAATGGAGATGAGGAGAAAAAATGTAAATATCCAGTTTCGTTCATTTGGAAAGGCAGTGTTTTATTTTTGTTTGGGAGAGTACTTAGAGCCTAATGAAAATAATGCCGGAATCCGCTCTGCACTTGTGATGATGTTTGGAACACGAGTAAAGTACAAAGCTACTTGTATTCCACATATAAAAACATTTGTAAGCCGAATAACATGTAACTTATGTTTCTGTAAAAACAAATTTAATTTAAATAAAATAGGTTGTATATAATGCTTTCGGGTGGCGCAGTGGTAAAGTCAATAGTTCGATAATGAAAACATTAACTTAGTTGGCATTTCTGCATGGAGTTTGCATGTTCTCCTCCGTGTACAATTGGGTTTTCTCCTGGTGCTCCGGTTTCCCCCACAAGTCCAAAGACATACAGTATTGGTGAATTGGGTAAGCGAAATTGTCTAGTGTATATGTGTGAATGTTGTGTATGGGTGTTTCCCAGTGATGGGTTGCAGCTGGAAGGGTGTCCGCTGCATAGAACATATGCTGGATAAGTTGGCGGTTCATTCTGATGTGGCGACCCCAGATTAATAAAGGGACTAAGTTAAAAAAGAAAATGAATGAATGATGCTTTTGTCAATGTAATCGAATTCAATTTGCATAAAGCGTGGGATTTGAAGATCAGAATTTTATCTATTTAGCAGAGATATAATTATGTGGTCAAGTAAAAATAGATCCCTTTTCACAAATCAGATAGCTATCCAATATGAGAAAACGCATAAAGTGACCAGGTGTAAACAGGCCCCATCTGTTTTGTTTGCAGTATTATAGCCTTTACACACAACAGATTGACATTTCTTCAATAAATAGGCTGAGTGTTGGAAGTGCAATAAATGGTGTTTTTTATTTGGTGTATTTTAATGTTGCACCACGTCTTTTCTCACCTTGTTTTCCATTCTCTCTTATCAGTGTCAGGCGATGCCAGTTTGATGGACAAGCGTGTTCATGCTGATGAGAAAAAACATCCATAAATATCCAGAGTCGAGTGACCTGTTCTGCTTCGTTCCTGCTATAATGGAGGGATGAGTCATAGCTCAGCTGTCCATCTCTCATGGTTTTTTCTCTTCGTTCGAGTAGCACATCACCACATACAAGAAGCATCGTGTTTCAGACAGTATCCAATTTGTACTTAAGTGTCTGTTGAAATAACTTGTAAACTAGAACTCCTTAGCAACTGCATGGCAACAACCTTCCACTTGCAACAATGCATGGCTTGCCACACAAAGTCTATTTATTTTTTTGAAAGTTGTTCATCATAATGGCTATAAAAAAAAGCGCAAATAACCCGAAGGTTGCTGGTTCAGTCTCTGCAAGGAGCCGACCATGACCTGCAATCATCGTTTTCTTGAGCAAGTCATTTGTCGTAAGTTCAGCTCCCACCTCATTGCTTTTTTTTAAAGTTTGTCGAAAAAAATAAATAAATAAAAACAAGCATTCTTTTCTTTTTCAGGCAAAGTTTGGATCTGTATTTAACCATGTGCTGTGGAAAATGCAGTCTAGTGGAATTCAACAAGGTAGTTATTTCTGGAAGAGCTGATATAAGTGCTAAAAAAGCAACTCCAATCACTCAAAGTTTGTTTCCTGTTAACAGTGCACAAAACAGGTTGAAGGAGGTGTAGATTTGAGTACAATACTAGAATCTGCATTTTTTCATGATTAATAGCAACTATTATTATGGTTTCACAGATTTGTTTCCGTTTATTTTGCAGCCGTATGTTTTAGTGAAGACATCCTGAAGTATGCCAAGTTATGAACCAGAAATCTACTGATCTTTCTGTCAACATCTACACGGGCCTCTGACACTTCTAATTGGGATATCTTTCCATTAGACAAAGATGTATCGACACACTACTCAGTAGACCAACTGTGTTGCCTCTAAGATAATGCATGACTTGAGAATGTCTTGCTTACCAATGAGCACTTTAAGTTTGTCACATTGGCACAGGTACAGACAAACAAACCTCAGATAAACAGAGGACTCAAAACGTGCTTGGCCTATCAACTATGCTCTTCATTGCTGCCAGGTTTCTTCCAGTTCACTACTTCAAACCTGGCTATAGTCCATCTACTGTTCTAGACCTTTCCAAAAAAGGCGTCTGACCTATTTCCCCTTATCGCTGAGCTAATATAGGGACAAATAATGGTCAATTAGCCTGGAAGACTGAGAGCCAAGAATGCCTGACTGTCTTTATTTTAAAACATACAATGAAGCAAAAGGAATGTGGACTGTTGTGTACAGTCAGTGGTGATAGCTGGCTCATAATTCCTGATGAAGCAAAACATAATTATTAACGACTGGTTTGAGCGAGTGTATTAGCATGTTTAAAGTAGAAGAGAGGAAAGCGGCCTTCGGCAAAGAATGTGTCAGACCGCATCATAATTTGAGTTGATTTTATGTGACATTTCTCATTCAGTCAACTTAACAAGTGCGCTGACACACTGTAGGTCGACTTTAATATCTCTTACAGGCATTGACGAGACTGCCATGGTCAAACCAGACACCAAACGCAAAACATGTTTGATTTGATTTTATATAGCTAAAATGGTGCAAGTTTGCACAAAGAGTGTTTTGGCACATTCTCTTTTTTCCCCTTGTTGACTTCAGATCTGCCAACATGAGAATCAAAAACATTTATTTAGATTCCTGATTATGCCGCCATCGTGAGTTATATGAACTATCCAACAGTTAAAAAGCCCTCAAAATTGCCATGGAAAAGTTTTATAGCTGTTTCAAAATTGCTGACAATTTCCACCCAGAAGCTACTGGCTGATTCAGACTAGCCACAGGCAGCTAGAGTTTTCCTGGTACAGCATTGATAAATATTAAACTGCAACAGGAAACAATGAAAGTTGCTGACATTGCATCTTTTGGATGTGTTAATTAGGATATTGATTTGCTAGAATTCATTGCTCTTGGCTTTATCACAGTGTCATTTTCATTAGTTTAATCAGTTTCGATATTATCATAACTAAAATGTTTATCTATTTTTTGTTTAAAAGTAGTCAGGACAAGATTACAAGATTACCTAATTTTCAGGGCTTAAACACATTATTAAGATTAAGATCACATTAGGCCCTGGGGCTATAGCAAATCTAAGGGCCCTCCTTTAAATTTTTTTTTTTAACCTATATATTGTTGTTGTTGTTATTGTTATTATTATTATTATTAATCTACTAGTTAATATGATCTAATTTCACACCATTTGATTGATATTTGATTATTGTATATCTTTTCTATTTTATTAAAATAGGCCTGCAATTATACAAAACTAGGTAGGCATAATATGAACTTTAAGGTTCAAACAAGCTGCAAAAAAATAAAAAAAATAAAAAATAAAACCTTTGCAATACTTCCTAAATTAGTGCTTTATAATAAATACTATGTATATAATATGTGTATAATGTGTATATATATGTATATATATAT